CACACCGCCTGGAATCTTACTAAACCCATACTTAATAAAATATGTATGCGGTTTCTTGTATGATAAATTTGTTTTATATTAAAAAGTCTCATTTGCCACATCTCCTTAGCGTTACTGAAACTCTAGATAATAGGGATGATGACTAATTTTTTTTTCTTCGTTTATCAGGTAGATTATCAAAAAGTATTGGACACGTATTTTTTCTTTTTTCACAAAATATAAACATTGCAGAGATATATTGATTTGAAAAGTCGCATGACGTCACGTTTGCACTTATAAGAGAAAATTCACTCATAAGTGACGTCACGAGCCCCTACTCACAAACTTTGACGCGCTATAACTTTGTCATTTTTTGGTTGATTGCCCAAAGAAAAAATACGTGTCCATTATTTTTTGATCATCTAACTGACGGACTAAATAGAATTTCGTTTACTGTACCCCGTCATCACCCCTATTATAATCCAATGACACTGCAATTAACAAAATGATCTGATAAAGTTTTTTCAATGTCGTTTATGTACCATAACCCCAAAAATTGCTATCAAACATTTAAATAACATATGAAATTCATCCTTATACACTTCAAAAAGTAACCAAATTGTAGGTACCCCGGTTTTTACATTTATAAAATTGTTATCAACATATTAATGAAGTAGATAATAGAATAGTTTTTTAATTACACATATTAGTGATGTGTATGTTACGTGCACAATTCAAAGTGCTGGATTACTGTTAAATAACTAGTACAGTCGAACTCATGTCGTCGGACACCATTTTTACACTGACAATGCCTTTATCACGTAGCAATAACAGTAAGATTTGTGTTACGAGCGTTTGGACTTAATCACCGCTTAACATCAAGTGGGGTAGAGTCATTTGCCTACCTCGATATAAAAAAACGAGTGTTTCGATTGTCTTGGCGTCGACTGTACCTCATCCTGACCATAAATATAAATAGTTGAAATGAAGCTTAAAATATTTTAGTAAGTCTGACCAGAAAAATAACACGACATGGTAGGTAGGTACATAACTTATTAATAAATTAAATTTCCTGATTTCACCAAAATCCAACACAATTTATCATACTTATTAACGCTATATATTTTTTGTACATTTTAAATAAGCAATTTTGCACCAAACAAATGTTGCTTTTATATTTCTGGTCAGTTTATATAATATACATATTATGTAAACCTACAATAGTATAAAATTTATATGTGAGCAAAACTGAAGTTTTCTTATTAATTATTAAATAATTAACTTTTATACCATTCAAAATGAATAGATTTTGTAATAGATTACCTAGATAATTATAGATGTATGTCTATCGACTTAAGATATGTATATCTACTATATGATACCTAATTGTTATTGTAATAGGGGAGTGCACAAATTTCTATAACACTCAATTTATCATGTATGTATTGTGATGTTATATTTATATAATACCGACTTCCACTTTTTTATCCGTGTTTATGTATACGTTTAGATATCAGATACATCATTATCATAATATACTATATTATATGTAATTAATATATAACTATGTAACCAAATTATCTGGACAGTGTTTTGTATTTGTGTAAAGAGTAGCTTCGAATGAAATGCGGTCTCGGTTAATATGGAGTCTAGGTTTTGTTAAAAAAAAGTGTATATAGCTTTACCAGTGAACGCATATGTATTTATTTATATGTAGCGGTAAACTTCTTGAGCAAACCTACAGACAAACAAACTTGCGCAGAATACGTTTTTGTATGTAAAATTGCTACTGCGCAGGAGATCCTTCTTCGTGCGCAGGAGTCGTTGATCAAGTAGTTTGCCGGAATGTATAACAATTTTTTTGTTGAAAAAATCCAAATATGAAACATGGGCGTGACGCCGAAATAAATCAATTCTAACTTGTATTTTAGTATAAAAGTTGGTTACCTACCCTCGTTAGTTTCCGGGATGTGAGTGTTTTATACCTCGGATGAGGTTGAATGGTTGTGATTTCAACGAATGGATTGATGCCATAGTTTCCTAAATATACAATGTCCAAATATACTTAGAGTTCATACTCCGAGACCGCCACAGATCTTAAGAGGCCAGTATGTACTTAACATATTGTAAGTTATATTGCAATTGTAAACATTCCATCGCTTGTGAATATGTGCGTTTTATTTAATTCACCCCTTCCCCCTCCACATATCCCCTGGTGGCCCATTAGACAGACTTGCTGCAATCTTACTGCTCTTTGATTGACAACTAAAATAGGTATAGTTTTTATAAACTATCTTACTATACTTTATTTTTTAGTTTTCAATCAAAGAGACAACTAAAATAGGTATAGATTTAACAATGAAAAACTCCCCGCGGACCAGGCAGCAGACTGGACCGCGTGGAATTTTTTCTACTTAAATTTTCTTTAGATTTAGACTACAATAGCGTTTTTAACAGGTTTTAGAAGACGATCTCACGTTATTAACTAATGTTTATGCACTGTATCAAAAGCATATTTGAAATTCAGTTAAAAACAAAATAAAAATTCAATTTGCGGCGAAAACGTTTCTTCACACGTAACGTCACACGATCTCACATTATAATGTAAAAAAAAATACTACCTCTAGCAACTCCGTGCTTCGGAAGGCACATTAAGCCGTTGGTCCCGGCTGCATCTGCAGTCGTTAGCACCCACCAATCCGCACTGGGCCCGCGTGGTGGGTCATGGCCCAATCTCCCTATTCCATCCATGGGGAAGGCCTGTGCCCCAGCAGTGGGGACATTAATAGGCTGATGATGATTATAATGTCAAAGGATATAAATGTAATGTTCCTTTGGCCGGAAGTATAGAGGCGTATGACGTCATGTTAATCTTGGCCAATCCCAGGCGATTTCGATCACGTGACCATGGAGCAAAAAATCAGTTCAAATCTTATTTTAAAATAAATAGAGGAAGATACAGCACTCGCTGCTCAAAAGTGATCCGCTTAAATTGTGGTGCATGACCACAATTTTCTTTAGTCACAATTGGACATTCAAACACGCTGCATGTGCACTCAACATAATAAAATTGCGTTTTTATCCATACACGTTCTCGACTGATTTATCTTTGATTTTTATCACTAAAGAAATGATTTTCATACACAAAATATAAATTTACTCATTCTACTCATTCAACTTGTTTTTAAAAGAAAGTAGAAGCCCTCAAAAATGCCAAAAATTAACAAAGTTTTTGTTACCACTAAAGACGTCTAGTGTGGAGATTCAATAAGCATTTACAAAATAAGCACAACGTAGAGGCCTAGTATAACTACTTATTACTCTATGGGTAAAATTTCTTTTAAATATATCTAATTTTCGAGGAGGAAATCGTCGAGAGCCAAATCTCGAATTTTGCAATTTTTAGCTACTGTTGTCCCTATCGCACGTATTTGCCAAAGCGCGACGGAAATAGATTTTTCAAATACCTATTTAGAAGAAATTCGACGCGGCCATCAGGGCCGCGGTAGCATAATTGGTCAGTGCATTCGCCCGGATAGCGAAGGGTGCGGGTTCGAGTCCCGTCTGCTGCCTGGTACGCGTCTAATTTTTTCTAGTTATATTTTCTTTAGATATAAACATCAAGCAGTTACATGGTTAAAAAATTAAAATTATACCTATAATAGCTATTTCTTTTTTCAAATGTTTAATATCTGTAAAAGTATTCATTTGACATTGTGGGTTACCTACAATGCGAAGAGATGGCGCTGTCTTGCAGCTTAAGAATGGCTAGAAGAATTTCGACGCGGCCATCAGGGCCGCGGTAGCATAATTGGTCAGTGCATTCGCCCGGATAGCGAAGGGTGGATTTTTTTCTAGTTATATTTTCTTTACATTTAAACATCAAGCAGTTATATGCTTAAAAAACAAAAATTATAACTATAATTGTTATTTCTTCTTTCAAATGTTTAATAAGGTACTTGATACAAATAAGGCCTATTCTGAAATAAGGCATGTAATGCAGAAAAATACTAAAATATGTTTACATCAAAAATACTTTACACACGCATAGATGACAGTTCTACAACTCGGCAAACTGTGCATGAGCGGTCCGCTCGAGCTCATAGCGTCAGTAGTGGCGGTACTTTGTGAAGGACGAGTTTTTCATAGCGCGTTATTAATTTGTCGTAATCTTTACTATTGAAGTGAAACTTCTTTATCGGCGTTGGAAAAAAAATTACCGTCACATTTTTCCGTTACGCGCCATCTTTTTTTATATTAATAGTTGATAGCTGAATGATCACACTGTCGCCGGCGAGAACTCTCTCTACTCGTTTGTAGCTGAGGGACAATAGTTATTAAAGATAAGACTCGCTCAGCCAAACTCGCATAGCGATACTCGCTCAGGGATACTCGCTCAGCGATACTCGCTCAGCGGTACTCGCTCGGTAGCGGTAACCGCATCAAAATCCGTTGTCTAGTTTCAAAGATTTAAGCATACAAAGGGACAGAGAAAGCGACTTTGTTTTATAATATGTAGTGATAACAATGTTCCTATAATTTAAGTTCATATTCTTTGTTAAGTCACTATGTTTTTAAAAGGCCTAAAGCTAAGAATCCAGAATTAGCTCTTTTTAAGTGATTTTTGATAAAAGATTTATAATTAAAATTTATGAACCAAGAAATAATGCCTTGCTTTTATTGTGGGTTACCTACAATGCGAAGAGAAGGCGCTGCCTTGTAGCTTAAGAATGGCTAGAGGAATTTCGATGCGGCCATTAGGGCCTCGGTAGCATAATTGGTCAGTGCATTTGCCCAGTTAGCGAAGGGTGCGATTTTTTTCAAGTTATATTTTCTTTAGATTTAAACATCAAGCAGTTACATGCTTAAAGATAGAAGTTATAAATATATATTTCTCAAAAGTTCTCCCAGCTCGCGTCCGCTCTTAATTACAGCTAATCGTCTGTTCAATTTATCATCATGTGTTGAATTTATAATGAACGAAAAAGAAACAATATTTAGAAAAAATATAGAATTTATTACACTGGGAATGAAAATTACCTACCTATATACATTGCATCTACTTACGATAATTTATCATTAATTTTCTAACTTATATGAAATTCTATCATTTCATACTAATGTCTTCTGAAAAACACATTCAGTAAATTAAATATAGATTCCTGTAATCGTAAAATAAATATGGATTTACTATTTCTTTCAAACACGTATCATGCTTAATACTTATGGTAGTTTTCCAATTACAGAGCATAATGCGACTCAGTGGCGCACAATGCCGAATTATGCTGATGCTTAATTGGAACGTAAATTAGTTTTCAAATGCACCAGCAGAGTTCGTTAAGTTCAGTGTTGAAAAAAAAGTCAATTGATGTATTTATTTTTTTAACACAGTTTGAATTATATTTGATTATTTAAAAAAAAACTACAATGAAACGAAAGCTTTAAAAAAATTCAACAATAAATAAATTTACTAACGATAATATATAAATAAAACCTATCGATCAATGCCAACTTAAAGAAAAAACAGTTGTTAATTTTCTGTCACTTGCAGTTGGTACGATTGCACACATCACACGAAAACATTACTTTTGAGAGTGCTCGATTATGCGAAGCATTGCTGTAGTTGAAACATTCAACGTTAAGCATTATGCGGCATAATGCGCTCTAGTGCTGTAATTGGAAAACTACCTATAACATTAGAAGTATGTCAATATAACAAAGTAGGTGAAAAGAGGTTACCTAAGCTGTCAAGTTGCTGCTTCTAAGAACCCACTTATTCTGTGGATCGTTTCGCGCTCACTCAACTCCACACAAATTATCAAGAATATTCATATCATGATGACACTCACGGCTCAAATGTGATCCGCTTGAATTGTGGTGCATGACCACAATTCGCTTTAGTCACAATTGGACACGCGCATTCAAACACGCTGCATTTGCACTCAACATAACAAAATTGAGTATATTCTGTGTTAAAAAGATAAAACAATGCCTCCGATGCTTTTATGAATTTCACAAATAGTTCAAGATCAAATAACAAATTTCACGGCAACACTTTTCATTCGTATAACTAAGTATGAAAACAATTGTTTTTTTCCAAAAATATCGGTTTGTCATGGCATATTTCATTCATCAGAGCATATTTTACTGGGCAAGTTATATTTGATTAGCTAGAATAAGTAGATTTAGATCATCATTAGTTGATGTAAGGTTCTGTATGCCTTTATGCCTTGAAATAAAACAATATTCTTGTAAATGTCACGATATAATGGACACAGGACACTGAACAGTATTTCTATCCAGCTCGAAGGACCAAAAGTTTATATAATGTTTTTTTACGCTTGCATGACATACTAGAGACAAGTGATATGATTGGGGAAATTTTCTGTGTCCCTACCTCATGATAAAACCATTTTAACTAATAAAAAAGCACGTCAATTTTTATGTGATGTATTTAGAAAAAAAAAATACCCTACTTAATAAAAATAACAACATTAGACATTACAATGTAAGTTCTTATAATCTTATTAATACTCCCATACTGGACTCTGAGTGATAGAATAACACAATATACTCTAACAAACTTTTCCATGCATGTACTTAGTACTTAGTGTCGCTGCACACGGGCCACACGCCACAGCCACAAACGCCGCCAGGAGAAGCTAGAAGCGGCTACTAAAGTGGCTGTTGAAGTGCGCGACAGCGGCCGACTAAGGTAAGGGAGAGAGGGGTGGGGAATCGCGCGAGTGACGTGTGGCGGCGTTTTGTATCGGCGCATTAAGGGGCCGGTGCGGGCCACAAGAAGCGAGCAACGCCGATTTGTAGCGTGTGGCGGTGGCGGCGTTTTGTGGTTGTGGTCGGTGGTCCGTGTGTGGCGACACTAACTCACAAAAATGGAAGAGAACGTGTATTTTTTTAGTTCATGTGTTAGCAAACCTTGAAGCATTGAATAAGGTCGATACAAAATCATCGTTAAGTTAAGAGACTTAATCATAAGGGAGTCCCCGCATTTGAAAAACTAACAAAAGGGAGCACATGCAATACAAATATTCCTTAGTTAAAGCTAGCAAAAAGGTGTCCTGAACATGTCAAGTGTAGCAGATAAGTTTCTGTCTATCGCTGTGAAAAAAGTTCTACAAAATGTTCAATTCTTTTAATCGAATGTGTGTCTTATATCGTTTAGAATAAATTAAATAGTGATCGGAGTACATTTAAAAATTACGTGGTTTGCTATTTGTAACAATAATGTTTATTCAAAAACAATAATCTGAATTTTGTTACAATGTTACTAACAACAACGGATTCGAAAATGTACCCACAAGAGTGATCGCATTATTTGTTATTATTCTGTGGAAGTCTTACATAGACCATCCTGAAGTCAACATAAAGGGTATTATAAACTGTTACTGTACTTTCAATATTTTTTTAACCGTTCTGGAGTTGTAATTAAATTTGTGAGGCGAATTCAGAAAACATCACTTAACTTAAATTTCATAAAGAGAAAAGTCCTCCAACTTCACCTATTCAATACAGTCATAAATTATGTACATAAATAATAAATCTTTCTACTTAACAAACTACTTAAAGCCTAGTAACGGAAGCTTCGCAGTCTTTGTCCTTCTCATTCTCCTTCACATCAGCTCCATCACCCGTCAGCTCCGCGTAAATCTCGTCTATGGATCTCATCCTTGTCTCTGGCACGCAGAGCACGATGTACACGGTGCTGAGGAGACACACAGCGGAGAACAACCAGAATATTATGTGGAGGCCGACAGAGTCCAGAAGCGGTTGGAACACTCGAAGTTCCACAGATACTATCATGCAAGCGAATGATATCACTATTGGTGTTACTGTGCCACGTAACTGTAAAAAAAGAAAGGGCATTAAGCGGTTTATTGGCGGAGCGCAGTTTCTTTGTGTTAAAAGGGGGGCAAACAAGCGTATAGCCCGTCCGATGGTAAGCAGCCACCTTAGCCTATAGACTTTGAGGGTGTTGGTCTAGTGGCAAGTGAGACTCACGCCTGTTTCGGAACCGATTCTCTGCCGGCGCGGGCCTCACGAGTCTCTAACGCGTCGATCAAACTTAGCGGTGATCGGCACGGTCCAGCATTTACACACGCGTTAGCTCTCAAATAAGCTTCCCCGTTAGTTAGCATAAACGACGATCGCACCCCGTTAGGCCCCTTACAGCAAGGCCCTTTTGGCATTGCCTGCACTCCCTACGCACGAGCGGCCTTCTGCAGCTCTTCTGTCCGATACGGGCGTGCCTCACTAGGCGGCCGTACCGTCCTTCTCGCGCAAAAAAAACCTATAGACGCTTGCGATACCAAAAATATCACTAGCTCTTTTGTCATTAACCTCATCAAGCCCATGGAGCTCTGGGACCTAACTTGGCGTGGAACTAATTGACTGAAAGAAACACAACACCATCAAAAGGTAGTATTGTTTCACTGTGGTCTTCTGTAAGGTTACTTCTCCAGAGGCAACCGGGCGTAAGGCTCCAATTCAAGCTGGAAAACGCTATGGCCTAGCTGAGACTAAGTGTCGCCGCACACGGGCCACACGCCACAGCCACAAACGCCGCCACGAGAAGCTAAGCGGCTACTAAAGTGGCTGAAGCGCGCGACAGCGGCCGACTAAGGCAAGGGAGAGAGGGGTGGGGAATCGCGCGAGTGACGTGTGGCGGCGTTTTGTATCGACGCATTAAGTGGCCGGTGCGGGCCACAAGAAGCGAGCAACGACGATTTGTAGTGTGTGGCGGTGGCGGCGTTTTGTGGTTGTGGTCGGTGGTCCGTGTGCGGCGACACTTACTCACAAAAATGGAAGAGAACGTGTATTTTTTTAGTTCATGTGTTAGCAAACCTTGAAACATTGAATAAGGTCGATACAAAATCATCGTTAAGTTAAGAGATTTAATCATAAGGGAGTCCCCGCATTTGAAAAACTAACAATGAGAGTACATGCAATACAAATATTCCTTAGTTAAAGCTAGCAATAAGGTGTCCTGAACATGTCAAGTGTAGCAGATAAGTTTCTGTCTATCGCTGTGAAAAAAGTTCTACAAAGTGTTCAATTCTTTTAATCGAATGTGAGTCTTATATCGTTTAGAATAAATTTAATAGTGATCGGTGTACATTTAAACGACGCAACGACGATTTGTAGCGTGTGGCGGCCACCGGCGTACCGTGTGTGGCGAGCCCATATAAAATGTATGAAAACTACAAGAAATATGCCGGAGGCGGCGTTTTGTGGTTGTGGTCGGTGGCCCGTGTGCGGCGACACTAAGACTAGAAGAGAGCCTAAAATGGAATTGCATTTCAATTAAAATGGTTTTGATGTATCAAACTTAGGGCACACCGAGATTACCGCTGATTCTGACTGGTACTACCCATCTGATACTATCACACCACTCCACTAGCGTTGAACACGACTGCTATTAGCATCAGCCCCATTATTTAAAAACAAGAAAAGATTAAACTAGTTACGCTGCCGTGTTTTGTTCCTATCACTCAAATGCCATTTGTAATTCAATGAACAGGAAAAAATGTGGAGTAACTAATCTTAATCTTCGTTTAGTAATAAGGGGGCAGATGTGTGACTAGACGAACGGAGAACATCTCCGTCATGACGACGAAGGGCACGGGCTGCAGGCCGGCCGCGTCGCAGTAGATGCACAGGCACAGCGCGGCGACGGGCAGCCACGCGGCGGCGGACTGAATATATGACGTACTTGGAAGGAGAACATCTCCGTCATGACGACGAAGGGCACGGGCTGTAGGCCGGCCGCGTCGCAGTAGATGCACAGGCACAGCGCGGCGACGGGCAGCCACGCGGCGGCGGACTGAATATATGACGTACTTGGAAGGAGAACATCTCCGTCATGACGACGAAGGGCACGGGCTGTAGGCCGGCCGCGTCGCAGTAGATGCACAGGCACAGCGCGGCGACGGGCAGCCACGCGGCGGCGGACTGAATATATGACGTACTTGGAAGGAGAACATCTCCGTCATGACGACGAAGGGCACGGGCTGTAGGCCGGCCGCGTCGCAGTAGATGCACAGGCACAGCGCGGCGACGGGCAGCCACGCGGCGGCGGACTGAATATATGACGTACTTGGAAGGAGAACATCTCCGTCATGACGACGAAGGGCACGGGCTGTAGGCCGGCCGCGTCGCAGTAGATGCACAGGCACAGCGCGGCGACGGGCAGCCACGCGGCGGCGGACTGAATATATGACGTACTTGGAAGGAGAACATCTCCGTCATGACGACGAAGGGCACGGGCTGCAGGCCGGCCGCGTCGCAGTAGATGCACAGGCACAGCGCGGCGACGGGCAGCCACGCGGCGGCGGACTGAATATATGACGTACTTGGAAGGAGAACATCTCCGTCATGACGACGAAGGGCACGGGCTGTAGGCCGGCCGCGTCGCAGTAGATGCACAGGCACAGCGCGGCGACGGGCAGCCACGCGGCGGCGGACTGAATATATGACGTACTTGGAAGGAGAACATCTCCGTCATGACGACGAAGGGCACGGGCTGTAGGCCGGCCGCGTCGCAGTAGATGCACAGGCACAGCGCGGCGACGGGCAGCCACGCGGCGGCGGACTGAATATATGACGTACTTGGAAGGAGAACATCTCCATCATGACGACGAAGGGCACGGGCTGTAGGCCGGCCGCGTCGCAGTAGATGCACAGGCACAGCGCGGCGACGGGCAGCCACGCGGCGGCGGACTGAATATATGACGTACTTGGAAGGAGAACATCTCCGTCATGACGACGAAGGGCACGGGCTGTAGGCCGGCCGCGTCGCAGTAGATGCACAAGCACAGCGCGGCGACGGGCAGCCACGCGGCGGCGGACTGAATATATGACGTACTTGGAAGGAGAACATCTCCGTCATGACGACGAAGGGCACGGGCTGTAGGCCGGCCGCGTCGCAGTAGATGCACAGGCACAGCGCGGCGACGGGCAGCCACGCGGCGGCGGACTGAATATATGACGTACTTGGAAGGAGAACATCTCCGTCATGACGACGAAGGGCACGGGCTGTAGGCCGGCCGCGTCGCAGTAGATGCACAGGCACAGCGCGGCGACGGGCAGCCACGCGGCGGCGGACTGAATATATGACGTACTTGGAAGGAGAACATCTCCGTCATGACGACGAAGGGCACGGGCTGTAGGCCGGCCGCGTCGCAGTAGATGCACAGGCACAGCGCGGCGACGGGCAGCCACGCGGCGGCGGACTGAATATATGACGTACTTGGAAGGAGAACATCTCCGTCATGACGACGAAGGGCACGGGCTGCAGGCCGGCCGCGTCGCAGTAGATGCACAGGCACAGCGCGGCGACGGGCAGCCACGCGGCGGCGGACTGAATATGTGACGTACTTGGAAGGAGAACATCTCCGTCATGACGACGAAGGGCACGGGCTGCAGGCCGGCCGCGTCGCAGTAGATGCACAGGCACAGCGCGGCGACGGGCAGCCACGCGGCGGCGGACTGAATATATGACGTACTTGGAAGGAGAACATCTCCGTCATGACGACGAAGGGCACGGGCTGCAGGCCGGCCGCGTCGCAGTAGATGCACAGGCACAGCGCGGCGACGGGCAGCCACGCGGCGGCGGACTGAATATATGACGTACTTGGAAGGAGAACATCTCCGTCATGACGACGAAGGGCACGGGCTGCAGGCCGGCCGCGTCGCAGTAGATGCACAGGCACAGCGCGGCGACGGGCAGCCACGCGGCGGCGGCCGTGCGCGCCCAGAACCACGCGCCCAGCGCCGCCAGCGCCAGGCCAGACACCAGGCACGTGCCCGCTAACAGCGGCTGCAAAAAACCAAGATCAATCAACCTATTAACGTCCCCACTGCTGGGGCACAGGCTTTCTCTATGGATGGACTAGGGAGATTGTGCTATTGATCACCACGCGAGCCCAGTGCGGATTGGTGGGTGTTAAGGACTGCTGATGCAGCCGAAACCGACGGCTTAACGTGCCTTCCGAACCACGGAGGAGCTCGAGATAGTAAATTTTTGGTCACCCATCCAAACACCGACCACTGCGAAATTTTGCTTAACTTCGACGCTCGCAGCCGAACGCAATAACCACTTGCGCCATCAAAACCATACTTTACATTATACTTTTTAATATAAACCAGTAGTATGGCATGACGAGAAGGATGGTATGGGAACCCGCGAACACCTTACCTAAACATGACATAATTTTATTATTTTTAAAGAATATCTAGCAAAATATAGGTGTCAAGTTAACTACTTTTATAAATATAATAATAAGCGGCAACAATTAATTAATTCGAGGGCTTTATTGGGTAGCTATTTATTCTGAATTAATTTCATAGGTAGTTGGGAAAAATATAAGTTCTGTTTAATGGACACTTATCATTAGCTCTGAAGGAGATCGTATAAAGTGTCTCATAGGCAGATGTGGCCGCGGCCTGTCCTTATTGGTCGCTCGTGTTTGACCACTAGCTTGCTTGCAACCTCATACAACTGGCCAAAACCAACAGGCCACGCTGCGTCTGTCTTAACACTTAAATATTTAGAAGAAGACGATAGCCGGCAAAGTGAGGATGGAAGTAACTTGAACTCCTTGACGGAAGAAACTTGAACTCCTTTACATACGACCTACCTTCCTTCCCGTTCTCTCCACGAGACCGGAGGCGGTAAAGGAACCAATCAGCTGCACAGCACCAAGGACCGCCGTCTGCTGATTGGCGGTGAGCAGCCAGCCGCCTTCGCTAGCCTTGCTGAAGATTAAGGACGCGTAGTGCAATACGGCCACGCAGCCGCACAGCTCGCGCGCCATGTTGATCATCAACGTGATGCGGAACGCTCGAAATGTGCCTCTGTCGTTTACTGAAATGAAATGTCATTCATCACTTATTTTCACGTACGGCGGGTGCCTTTGACAAATCGCGATAAACCCTTTCTCCCCCCTCAAAAGTTCACCCCTTACCATTTCCGACCCTCAATCGCGTTTAATATTTCCTTTTTGAAGTGAAAACTTCTTTAGCGGCGTTGTACTTTTTTTTGTATGGGTAAAAAATGTTAAACTCGCGTCAGGTTAAACACGTGAGCTGATCGCATCATGACACACAATAAAATTGGAAAGATTGTTGACTTTCAATATATTGGACGAAACATAGTAATATTTTATTTTACCGTATTATAATAATAAGTCTCTTTCTAGGACGTCCACGTGGCAGCTTTATTGCGAAGAAAATACATTTTTTTTTACAATAGATGTCGCTAGGTGCGCTTAAATGTGATTCGTGTAAGTTGATTTCTCTACAATAGATGTCGCTAAGTGCGCTTAAACGTGATTCATGTAAGTTGATTTTACTGCGAGATAAACTTTTTTAATGTAATATAAATTGTCATGTTTGTGTACGATAGCGCAATAAATAAATATTGTATTCTACCACATACATGATAGTACTTTTACACTGATAATTAAAGTAATTCGTGCAGAATTATTCCCTAACCATTCCAAAATATCAAAAATGCACAACGTTAATATTCAAGTTTTCACTCTGTTGGCACTCCCGGAGTGCAACCCGTCGTTTTTTTTTATGTGTTCTCTTTCTTTTGGTGTGGGTATCATACAGTTCTGAATTTTTTTGCTCTCAAAAATAATCGGCCCTCGTCTATAAAGGTAAAAAAGTAAAGGTTTTTTTATTATTATAGAATAAGAAATCCTAAAAATATAAAACTATAAGCCTAAATAAATAGATTGTTAAAGTAATTGTTGGAATAATTAGTTTACTTTCGCAGGCTTCACAAACTCTGGCGAAACCAAGCAACCTTAACTCGCAACAAGGTGATGCTGTGTGTATGGTGGGAATGGAAGGGCATTATTTACTATGAGCTCTAACTGCCAGGCAGGACCATCGATTCTGATTTCTACTGCAAACAACTGATGAGATTAAAGCAAGAAGTTGTGAGAAAGCGGCCGGAATTAATCAACAGAAGGGGTGTGGGTTTTCATCATGATATAGCTAGACCTCACACATCTATAGCCACTCAGCAAAATTAAGAGAGTTTTACTGGAAGATGTTAATGCCTTCAGATGTCCACTTGTTTCTGTCTCTTCAGAATTATTTACGCAGTGTCAGGTTAACTTGACGAATGGACTGCTTTTTTGATCAGAAGCCCCAAAATTTCTACAGCAATGGGATCATGTCTCTACCTACAAGATGGCAAAAGATCATCGAACACAATGTAAATTTAAGTTAAATGTAAATCAACTTTATTAAAAAATGATTTGAATTTTCATAATATGCGAAGAATTTTTTTCCCCAACCAGAATATACAGGGTGTTACAAAAATACAAATAAAGCTTGAAGGGCGTTGAAGTACATCGTATAAGGAGTCTTCTTTAATTTTCTTAAAATAAAGAAGCTTAAAAGCAAGAAGTTTGAACTTTTTATAAAAACAGTTATTTTTAATGATTAATAAAAATATCGATCATTTTAAGACACGTCACTAGTTCGGGATCATGCACCTTACCAAGAGTAGTAATAAATCTGCTGTAATAAAGAAATTAGAGAAGATTCCTTATATGATGTACTTCAACGCCCTTCAAGATTTATTTGTATTTTTGTAACACCCTGTATAAGCAATTGAAATCAAGCTACGATTTGCTATCTTGAAGGTCTTAAAATATCAACAACATGCTGATTAAACTGATGATTTGCAGCCATGTTGTTCATGTTTGACCATAAATCAATTGATAAACTCAACATGGCTGAACAACGAGACATTGTTCTCTCAATGAGATCAATAGCTGATGGCAGAAATCAACAAAATGATTTATAGATAACGAAACGAAACATCAGCGCAGATTACCTAATTAAAGATAACGATGAGTGTAATATAGATAAGTCTTATATGCTGACCTGGGAGCGAAGGAAAACACAGAATGCGCCAGCCAACGATATATCGTTGGCGCCAGCTGATAACATTCCTAAGCAGATAGGGTTACCATTTGACCGGAAATGTCCGTAGTTTTTGCCTCTTGTCCGGCTTTTTAAATTAGATAGAATATGAGTAAAATTACTTATTAAGTTATATCAAATAATTTTTATTAAGTTCTCATTAATTTAAAACAAAATATAAATCATTTTTACAAATCAACAACGATGATCCTCACGATGCGAGGGTCTGCTACCGCGCGTATAATATCACTGTAATTAAGTGGGTGATGTATGCATTTTGTGACTAAAATGTCCGGACTTTGAAATAAATAAAAATTTCCAACACACACCAATTAGCCTAGCCCCAAAGTAAGCACTATAAGGCTTGTGTTATGGGATACTAGGGTAACGGATAGAATACATATACTGTACATATATATGTGTAAGTATATTTATAAAGAAATACATATTAAACATCCATGACTGGAGTACAAATTGTATTCGCGTTCGTATTCATCACACAAACTCTCGAGTCGGCGACACCATGAAACCCGGCGTACAAACCACTCGGCCAAGGAGGTCGTCAAATCGAAATTTCCCGGCTTTTTGTCAGGATTTTTCAAAATTTTAAATTACCCTTTAAGCAGATATTAAAATTCAGAACACGTAAGTACTCAGGGGGCAACTACTGCGACTGGTTTCAGTCTTGGGGGCCAATCGCCTAGCCAGATTGCTTAGGAAAACGCTAACTCTTACGATTTTATTTTGTTATTTCTAGCCGCCTGAGGTTTTCCAATTCCTCGCGCTCCATTTTTTTTTTGCATTGGTAATAATTATATTAAAAAAAAGCGTGAGGTATTTGAAAACCTTCGGCGGTCAGAAATAACAAAATGAAATCGTAAGCGATAGTGTTTTCCAAAGCAATTCCGTTTGGCGAATGGCCTCCTGGAATGGGCTAGCACCGTACCAGATAATAAAAGATAAGAAAAAAGTTTATTGGTGGGCAGTGGTTGGTCTTCGATTGTAAAAGAATAGCAACTTTTGTAATAGCCGATCATAGGTTGGGGGGATTCACAATAAAATCGTTAAAACGTCGGTCAAGAGTCAAGACTGCGACCGCATGTACAGTACCGCATAAATCGTACAATAGGTTGATAATGAGGAGGACTTTAATCGAAATGAGGCAGACCTTCGAATTATTACGCTCTGACGGATGTAACCCATAGAATACCATAAGCTCCAAATTTCATATTAAAATATATGTAAACTCATATACTCAATGTTTTAAAAGCTCATTATATTCTGTAATCATTGTTTGTAATCATTATTCAGTAGTCAATCATGGACCAAGTCATACCATCTACGATGTCGTATGAGGCGGGTCGTTGCGTTCCCTAAAAAATGGTTGAGCGAAGCGATGGCTGGTTCATGCGTCATGCTCGTGAACGGGTGCTGCCAGCGGAGATGAGTCTGCTCTTGCTTCATTGGGTACTATTAATCGTTCTACTAAACTTTAATCGTTTATTTTGCCTAAACAGTAGAACACGGCATTCCTAAACATTCCTAAACTTTCATATTTTTTATATTATTTGCATTTGTAATGGAAAGTGACTTTATGAGTTACCTCTTAATGAAGTAATTTTCAATTTGACGACTCTGTATATAATATAGGGAGAAAAAAACAGCCCTTACTGAGTTTCTTACCGGTTCTTCTCAGTACAAGGTCTCCCGCCGTAGATTTGCGAACCGATGGCGTAGCTTTTCGACATTCACAAGTGCTTGTAACAGACTAGACTGTATAACCGATATTGAATTTTGATTTTTTTGATTTTTATGTCAGTAGTTACTTAAGTATGTCGGATTCCCAATACCAACCGCTCGTTTCCCACAGCTCGACAGTATACAAATACTTCAGTTGCAATTGGTAGACGGGTAAACAGTTCTTTACCAGCATGGGAACGAGTCGCCATGTTTAGTAAACTCCATCGATCGAGTGTCGTCTGTTTACACATTGTTAACGGGTTTTTTCTTTAAAGCAGAAAACGATATTTTTCAATAAATTTGTTGAGAACTTATTTACTGATGGTTTTTATGTTGTGTAGCGGCGACATCTATATGCCCTACAGATATACAACGGATGTAGGAAAACATTACTCACCATCCTCAAGAGATGGCGTTACCTGCACTGCGATCAATATTAGTATGGAAGCCTACATCGCGCAAATGAAATTCGGAGGCTAACTCTTCATATATACGATGCCCGACCAACATCAGTTGGACCTTGGCCCCCGTGCTACCATCACCCAGCTCGGAGGAAGATCTTCCCCTTTGGCCTTCCTACAGTTGTTGGTAAAATAAACCACTGCTCACACTGTTTTATTAGTTACTAGAGGTCGCCCGCGACTTCGTCTGCGTTTCTGGAAAATCCCTCTGGAACCTAACATTTTTTGGGGATAAAAGTAGCCTATGTGTGAATCTAGGGTGTCAGCTAACTCCATACCAAATTTTATCAAAATCGCTACAGCCGTTTAGGCGTGAAGAAGTAACAAACATACATACTCACACACTCACAAACTTTCGCCTTTATAATATTAGTGTGACAATCAATATAATCATACAAGTTTACAAGATGAATAACGATTTGTATTTTACTAAAAGTTCACAACACACCATTTTACCAAAGACAGGATTTCCTTTTTGTAAACCAACCATAGAGTTATAATTTTTATTATTTTTAAAGCATGTAACTGCTTGATGTTCAAATCTAAAGAAAATATAACTAGAAAAAATTCCACGCGGACCGGGTAGTTGGTAGACGGGTAAACAGTTCTTTACCAGCATGGGAACGAGTCGCCATGTTTAGTAAACTCCATCGATCGAGTGTCGTCTGTTTACACATTGTTAACGGGTTTTTTCTTTAAAGCAGAAAACGATATTTTTTTCTAGTTATATTTTCTTTAGATTTAAACATCAAGCAGTTACATGCTTTAAAAATAATAAAAAAAAAAATATAACTATAATTGCTATTTCTTCTTTCAAATGTTTAATACTTGTAAAAGTATTCATTTGACATTGTGGGTTTACCTATAATGTGAAGAGATGGCGCTGCCTTGCAGCTTAAGAATAGCAAGAAAGAATTTCGACGCGGTCCGTGTATGGTCCGCGTGGAATTTTTTCTAGTTATATTTTCTTTAGATTTAAACAACCATAGAGTATTATATTTAGCCACAGACTATACACAAAGTTCCTAATATACAACAATGGTGTCGCGAAATCGGAAACACTTCCGAGCTACGTACGAATCGACACACACCTTGATAAAGTCATCGCCAATTTCAACTAAAATTCATCGTTGGAACCTAATCAATATTCAGTGGCTGCAATCACCTTTTTAAATGGTTTCGAAAAAATCTTGACGTCACACAAAACAAATAGTCCTGTCTTGTTGCTATGTTCACTTTCATTTTGTGGCTTAAACTTTCATTTATTTAATTTGTAAGTTGGCCTGAACGTTCTTTATTAAAGAAGCTCGGCCGTTGAATTTGACCGTATCGAAGATACGGGCATTTTGGCAAAACTGCTTCCATGACGCCTGTTTTGCAGTAAAGTTGATAAATTACTAATAAAAGAGACTTCTGAAATGAGTAAAGCACTAGAACTTTATTAATTAGGCTAGTTTTTATTTCGGAAATTAAAGTTCAAGTTTGTTAATATGGGGTCAGAGCTTTTTTAGTTTTCCATGGTGTTAGCGGTATGTAAGGTGTCGCTTGGACACTGTTGCCCCATCTCACGTGAGAGCGACCGCTCGCAAAGCCGGCGCAGCTGCGGCGACAGCCGAAACCATGAAAAGGCGTGAATATGGGGCCTTGGGAAAGCCATATATATTTGCGCCTTTTGCCGCGGAGACCTTGGGGCCTTGGGGTGTGGAAGCCCGTCAGCTATTTAAGGAGATTTCCACACGCCTCATCGACGCCTCGGGGGATCCAAGGGCTGGCGCGCATTTCGGACAAAGCTTGAGCCTGGCCATTCAACGGGGAAATCCCGCCAGCCTCTTGGGCTTACCCTGCGAGCGCAGCGATTTGGGGTCGTTTTTTTACATAATATAGTTTTATTTTTAGTTTGGTATAAGTATATAGTTCATTTAGTACTTTTAATCTATTTTGTGTGTTTAAATAATAAAGTATTTTAGGAAATATTGTTAATTATAAAAAATATAAAACACACAACAAATTAAAATTCAAGTTTTTTCTTTGATTATAGATGATTTGATTATATTAATAGCTGGCGCGGCAGGCCTTATGATATTTTATTGGGCAAGCACAGCAAACAACAGCATTGCCCTCCGGCAAAAAACTTCCGCAAGTCCAAAAATTCTAATTATAATTATAAAGTCTAAATAAAAGGGAGACAAATAAAAATAAGCACAAGTGCTGGGGTCTAAATCAAATATATAAAAAAAAAGGAAAAAAAATAATAATAATAAATTAGAAATACGAGTGCGGGATTTGAACCGACGACCGCGGTGATGCGTCGAACGTTGGTCCCTTGGCAAAAATTTAACACACTGCGCCGTTTCGATCGATACTGGAAAGGCGAAAATTGTGTTCATATGCACTGCTGTCAGGTTATTTTCGTTACGGAAATTCTTGATTTGGTCGCCGCGCTCAAAGCCCGCGATAAAATCTATGCAATAGCTTAAAAATACTGGTCAATCTCAAGCAATATGCCCTTACTCAGCGTTTTGAGTGCCCCCGCGAACTTGGCGGACTTCTTCTGTTCCAACTCCAGCATCAGGCGCTGCAGTTCCGCTTCCACGACAGGATCGTCCCGGTCCCGACACCGCAGCCACGCCACGGCGTTGCGGGCCTCCTGGAATTATCATTATATTTCAGATTTTGATTATATACACCCTAGATACCGTATTATAGGGTTCATCATCATCATCAGCCTATTAATGTCCCCACTGCTGGGGCACAGGCCTTTCCTATGGATGGAATGGGGAGATTGGGCCAAGACCCAACACGCGGGCCCAGTGCGGATTGGTGGGTGCTAACGACTGCAGATGCAACCGGGACCAACGGCTTAACGTGCTTTTCGAAGCACGGAGGAGCTCGAGATAGGAAATTTTTGGTCACCTATCCAATGACCGACCACAGCGAAAGTTGCTTAACTTCAACGATCGCAGCCGAACGCGCTAACCACCCGCGCCATTGAGCTCCTCGATTATAGGGTTGCCAGATGCTTATCAATTCCGGGACATTTGCACCCTCCTGAAAAAATCAAGCATCAAATCAAACCCCCCATCACCCCTCAGAATCAGAACATCAAGCAGGTCAGCGGTGTCATTTGTTATTAGTTTATTGACGTGACAACGTCTTAAATTAGGTTGCGGCTGGGAGTCACTTATGAAAAAGTGTAACGCTCGGTAACGTTACGATGAGTCTCTCGTGTTAAGTTTAAGTTTACATGTACAATGTTTTAGTAAACAAAATATATTTCTATAGTTAAAATTTGTGCAATTCTTATTTTCATTCAATTCCTTGTTCCTATTGTGCAATTTAATTATATTCATATCAATAAATATTCTACCGAGAAAAAGACGTTGTCACGTAAAATCTTCGCCCGTAAAACCGACTTTACAGGCAACCATTTTTTTTTTGTTACGAAACTAGCACATTATCGGCATCCGGGACAATAAGGTCTACTTACTGGACACGGTACAAGACGCAATATTCAATTCAATTCGTTTATTGCATATCCACAACGTACAAAAAGATATAAATTATGACAATATAAGATCATTATGGACCCTGTCGGGCACGCAACTAAATGAGAGATAGAAGAGAGGAGTTACATTCAAACTATGTTAGTTTACAGATTAAAAGAGTTAGGTACTGAATGTCACTATTTATATAAGTTAAGATAAAATTCATTCAATCTATATAAACAATTAATGAATAGGCTGATAATATTTATATACAATGATAAATTCCGGGACAATCCCGGATTTCTCGGTCATCTGGCAAGCCTACCGAATTAACTGCACGGAAGCTGAACAAAAAAACCTACTAAATATGATAGATATGCTCGTCGCTACACACGCACACATTGACTGCTTTAGTGCATCTGACATTAGAGTCAGCATACATTGCGTGAAACATTGAGCCGTTTTCTTTGCGTAATTTATTTGGATTTCTTTATCTAGGTGTGTAAATAATCGAAGATTCAGGATTTTGGGGCTGTACATTCCTAATGGAACTGTAGTCACTTCGACCAAAAGACGCGTCACCAAGTCAAATTATGTCTCTTTTAGCACGGTTACTTACAAGACATTGAAAGCTAACGGGAAGTCGGAAATCTGTTTAGTGGATATGTAAATACAATTTTAAGATGAAAAAGGCATATTAAGGCATTGGGGAAGTCGAAAATCTGTTCAATGGATTCGTAAATACTGATTCGACGGTAAACGTGCATCCTAAAATCAATCAAAATTTGCACAAACACAGTTTATATCAATAGGTACACGTGTTTAGCCTAACACGATCGCCTAATCTGTAAAAGAAGAGTTTGTAACGCATTTATTCAGAATATGTTTAATAACAAAAACAAATTCAGTTTTCGCAAACTTCGCCATTGAATTTATGAACATTTTTAAATCTCGAGCTGGAAGATACAGCAGTTAAGCTTTTGGTACTGGCATCAATTTAAATCACTCGAGTTCCTTTATTTAAAGCTTATAGTCTTACACACACTATATAGTCTACTCAAATCTGCATGGCTAAAAGTCTCACCTCAGTCTTTCCAGTCTTCAACAAATACGATGGCGTCTCCGGCATAGAGCTGAAGACCAGCAAATGGACCAGCGGCACTGCCAGCAGGATCCACAATATAGCATGGTAGCTCAGGTAAGCTCCCATGACGTACACGAACAAGTTGCCCATGTTTTGCGAGAGCACCACGAGACTGCCCAGGGTGCCTCTGATGGAGTCCTCGCTGATCTCCTTTATGTAGAGAGGCGTGACGACGTAGGATCCGCTGACGGTCAGCCCGAGGAACGCCCGCGCGGTGATCAAAGCCCACATCTCAGTGGAGTATATCTTGAGAGCGAAGCAGGTCTGAAAACACAGATTCGTGAACAGACCCGTCTTTCCCATTGGGCACTTTGGGCAAGTGCCCAGGGCCCCGCAATCGATAGGGGCCCCCTCACATAAAATACAAAGTCCCTAGTTCCAGTTAAATCACTAAGGGGGCGTCCATAAATTACGTGAGGTGTTTTTTTCAATTTTCTGTCCCTCCCATCCCCCCCTGGTGAGATGTCGTGAGATTTATTCAACCCCTCCCCCATTCCCCAATCTCACGTGAGATTTTTCAAAATGTGGGTTTCTTACGTAAATACGTTGCATTGTAATTGTATAAAGAAAAAAAATAGTGAATGATCTTAATCGTATTACGATTACGCTTAAGATTAAATCTTAGCATGTACAATCTGGATTAAATGGACCAAAATAGTATATTCGTTTTGTTTCAATCAGAAAAAAAAGCGTGTTATTTGACTCGACTCCCCCTCTCTCCAACGTAAGATTAGATGAGATTTGACTCGACCCCCTCCCCCCTTAAACGTATTTTATGGACGCCCCCTAAACGGAAGTCCCCTATGCCCCATTATCCTAATATGCCCAGGGCCTCCAATAGGTCAAAGACGGCTCTGTTCGTGAAGCACTGACACATAACTCACTAAACTATGGTAGGTCAGAGCAATAAAATATTTTAAGACGACCTCATCTCATGATCATGAGACAAAGATGAGCCTTGCAGCCTGAAAAGTATCAGAAACGTCAAAAACCATGTAAAACATTAAACATTCGATATAAATAACCAATTTTTTTTTTACTTTAAACATTTAACTGCTGGATGTATAAATATAAAGAATATTTTACTAGAAAAAAATCCACTGAGTCCAGGTTTCAGAAGAGATTCGCCCCACATCTTACGCTTTCCGGCGGACGCTATAGAAACCTTAATTTTCGGGTCGAATTTCCTTAGGCTCCAAGGCAGCGCCATCTCTTATCATCTAGAGGTATAGAAAACAGCCTAAAACTGTGGTCTTAGGCCCGTATTACAGAATGACAACTATGTCGATCTTCACTTGGGTACAGTTAGAAAGGGATGTCGCTATGTGCTATATATAGCGACATCCCTTTCTAACTATGCTCAAGACTATTTCAATCACTGAGAATCTTTCTATAATACCGGCCTTAGAATAGTCAGACTATACGAGAAATACGTAAAGAAATATATAAAATCTACAAAGCCGTTTTGAAGGAGTTCAATAACAAACACCGTGACTGGGGGATGTTTAATCTATATATATATATATAAAAAACTCAAAGGTGACTGACTGACTGACATAGTAATCTATCAACGCACAGCCCAAACCACTGGACGGATCGGGCTGAAATTTGGCATGCAGGTAGATGTTATGACGTAGTCATCCGCTAAGAAAGGATTTTGATCAATTCTACCCCCAAGGGCATAAAATAGGGAATGAAAGTTTGTATGAAACTTTGTCAATTTTAAACCGATCGGGCTGAGACTTTGCATGCAGGTAGGTATAAGAAGAATCATAGATGAATGTCATTGTGTATAATACAAGCCTGAGAACAAAAACTGTAGTCTACACTTCAGCTCTACACCGAAGCGAAGCGAGGGCGGGCCTCTAGTATTAGAATAAATTAAAAAGCAAGGACTACTTACGGCAGCAGACAACGAGGTGACCATAAGTGCCGCCTTTCTCCCGCAGTTGTCCACTATGAACCCGAACAGGAACACAGCCGGCGTCCCCACCAGGTATACCACCGACGCCATCCAGGAGATCACCTCCGAGTCCACGGGCTCCTTGGCCGGCGTGTCTTTGGACATCAACCGAGGACCCATGGGAGACATCCAGCCAACCCCCGTGCCATAGGAGAATACTGGCAGGATCACTGAGGAAGAATAAAAGTGTGGTAGAGCCAGTTTAGGACATTTGCCATGATGTGTTTTTGTTATGACAGCGCCATCTTGTTACCCTAGGTGAATCTAGATGGCTTGCAAATTTCGAATAATGTGTTTAGGTTTCGACACTTAAGAACTAGATGGCGTTGCCGACAATATATCATGTTTATAAAGAGTATTTATTTTATTTTAAGGACACTTTTTTACTGGCTTCCGAGCATTAACATATTAGATATTCGATACTGCTTTCATTTGGGCACCTATTTTACAGTTTTAGGGTTCCGTAGTTCTGACAAAGAACCCTTATAGTTTCGTCATGTCCGTCTGTCCGTCCCCGATTTTGTTTGGAGCCTATTAGCACTAAGGGCGGATCCAGGGGGGAGGGGGTCTTGACCCCCCCCCCTGGGCTGGGTACAGATGGACCAACCCCAGGGGGACTTTATTTAAGTACTTTCAATATTTAATATACCACGACTATATGACCCCCCCCCTGGCGCCAAAGCTGGCTATAAGACCACCCCCTGGCGCCAAAGCTGGATCCGCCCTTGATTAGCACTAGCGAGCTGTTATTTTGTGGAGATATGTATACCGATCACGCCAACAAAATGGTAGAGTTAAATATCGAGAAAAATTTTTTTTAGGGTAGCTCCCTACAAATTAACATGTGTAGGGGAGCTACCCTTCTTTTCTTCTGGGGATGATTTCTTTTTATCATCTACCCCATCATGTGCAATTCAGCTATCTAGACCTAACTGAGGAGCAACTGAATAAACATGAGCGACTTCAAAACTTTTGTATTAGGTTCATATTTGGCTTGCGCAAATATGATCATGTATCCGATTTCCGCACTAAGCTCAAGTGGTTGCCAATGCGTCTTCGCCGGAACATGCATATCCTTACCCTTCTCTACAGTATATTGTTTAATCCCTTAACTCCATATTATCACAAGGACCGTTTTAATTTTCTGCATGATACACATGCTCACGTGTTTTGAGATCGTCCCAGAATTTAACACTCGAGATTCAAATGTACTCCACGAAATTTATGGACAAGTCATTTGTAGTTCAGGCTGCTCGTTTATGGAATGCCTTGCCAGAAACAATCAGAGGTATTAAAACATTAGCTTGTTTCAAAAAAATGTTAAAAGAACATTACTTGACACTTTAGCAAGTCGTCACATCATCCAAAGTAAGTATGGTTAAAGTGTTAGTGTGTTTATATATATCGTTTATATATATATATTATATTTATGTATTTGTATTTTATTTTTTGTTGTACATAATTATTTATAAGTATTATTAATGGTAGCTTCACTTTAAATGACACCATCTACTTCCCACTCTCTATGTAACAGTCCAGTTAACATACGGTTGCCTGGAAGAAATGCTTTTTAGCGATAAGGCCGCCGTTTGTACTATTATATAATATTTAATTAATTGTAATTTGAAATTTCACAATAAAGTGATCATTCATTCATTCATGTGGGGTATCGCTGAATAAGTCCTTTAAATTACTTCGAGGTTCCTAAGACACAGACAGGTAATTACAGGTGGGGCATAATTTTGGGCGTTTTTTAAAACATTTTAATATGTATGGTAATTGGTAATGTAATTTTAGGGCAGGATAATCCCTTCCGTTCTAAGTACGGCCCTGGATCAATTATGCACGCACGTGATTTACGTAGCCGTTATCCCGGATTAATTTAGAAAAAAATAAACAAACTAAGCTTAGATTGTATTAAAATATGAATTAGTTTCCAGAGAGAGTGTCATAATTAACCTATTAATGGTCTCACTGGGCACATGCCTTTTCCAGTGGATGGAATAGGGATAATGGGCCATGATCCACCAAGCGGGCCCAATGCGGATTGATGGGTGTTAACTTCTGCAGATGCAGCCGACACACGAAGAAACTTGAGATAATAAATTTTTATTCACCCATCCGACGACAGAACACTGCAAAAGTTTCTTAACTTCAACGATCGCAACTAGATCATCAAGTTTTGAGTGTATCTTTTTAGTATTTGACTATTTCTATAAGCTCATTCGTCTCGAAATGGAAACTCAAAGATATCACACTAAGGCACGTATTATAGAAGGATTTCCAGTGATAGATCTAGTCTTAAGCATAGTTAGAAAGGGATGTCGCTATATATAGCACATAGCGACATCCCTTTCTAACTGTACTCAAGTAAAGATCAACACTTAGTTATCGTTCTGTTGTAATACGGACCTAAGTGTGATATGGCGATATGGTATGTTTGTTACTTCTTCTCTTCTCAACGGCTGGAGCAATTTTAACAAAATTCGGTATGGATTTAGCTAACACCCTGAATAACACATAGTCTACGTTTTATTGACGGAAAATATCCCTAATAAGCCGCGGGTAACCTCGCGGGACACAGTAAGTATGATTGCAATAGAGTTACAACCGATTGGCTAAAATCCCTGGATTACTTTACAACAGAGAAACTCTTGGCTGTCATCTAGTGAAATGTAATTAACATCATATAAACATATTTTTCACTTGTACGTACAACAGCAAACAGAGACACACTCATACTACAAAACAACAAAAAAAATTAATAACACAATCACTATAATAAACAACACAATACATACACGCACACAAACACTCACACAATCACATACACCCACACAAACACACTACCTTCTTTTTGTTTTTTTTTCTCATACATATGTTTATGTATTTCACTTAGGAACTAATATGTATTTGAGTTCCTTATAGACGGTTCGGAGGTGGAGAGACTGGTAATCTGTAATACAGGTCTCCTAGTACAGACTTCAGTCTCTCACATAACTAGATTTAAATATTAAGGTTAAGTTAATGATGTATTGTTATGTGAGAGAAGAAATAAAGAAAATTATTATTATTATAGTAAATAATAAATACTAGTAGGTACCTAGTTTACAAAGTATTGCTTACATTTCAATACAAACAAAAGTTAATCAACGATCCTGTTTACAATTACAGATCTCAGCTGACCACTTGAACTTCGCACTGGCATCGTTGAACTCAATAAATTATTTAGTTTCTGTGCAACGAAGATCAATGTCAGCCGTTGGTCGACATCAGCGCTGGCACGTGCGCGGGTCACACGGTCAGACCGGTTTATGGAGACCCGTTAGATAAATACAATGTTAGAACCATTTTCTCTTGTCTGAGAAAGACGCGACGCCTCATCACCGCGTCCAAAGAGGATAAGTCTGGGACCATTTTTATACAGGGTTACAGGGAAAGTCGTACTGAATATTGAAGGACGTTATTATTCAGGTCATTTCTGATGGATTTGGTCCTATAATATGGTGTCCAAAACTTAACCGTTATGGAGATATTGGATATTAAAGATTTATTTAAAAAATCCTATATTTTTTGGGTTACTGTCGATTTTTTTGAAATTAGAGCTCCAAAGGTCCGATTTTTTAATGAATCTAGTTAGAAGACATGTCAAGCAATAAAAATAATGAATAAAAACTGAACTTACTATCTCCATAATGGTTAAGTTTCGGACACCATATTATAGGACCAAATCCATCAGAAATGACCTGAATAATAACGTTCTTTAATATTCAGTACGATTTTCCCTGTAACCCTGTATATATGCGTTGGCGCTTTACACTAAAATGGGTGAAAAAATTTTTTTTAACAATAAATAAAACCCAGTCCAAAATCGAATATGGAACTAAAAAGGGGGAAAAATATCCGGTACAATTATTATTTGGAAATAGGGCGGGGTCAATATTAAAACGCGTCCTTATACCGATTTGAAATGAAAGTCTATGCCATGTTTCAATCTTGGCTTCACTTGACTTCCAAATAGTAGATACTATACTTAAACTCAAACGGTTATTTGCTAAACAAGTGTACAAATGATGCTAAAAACGAATTAATGAACAAACAACTTAATTACTGTTTTCGAGCACTGCAAATTTATAGATTTGATTTCTTTATTTAATTTATTGATTTAATCACATTTATTTATAATTGTTAGAAAAGAGGAAGCGCTTCCCAAATGTACCTACAACAAAGATAAAGCTTGTTTCATATGCTTATTTTTGATTGTGATAATTGGATTTTTAATTAGATAATCACTCTCTGATTTAATTATAAATAATAATAATTTTATACAATGAAAAATCTAATAATTGATAAAATTATTTTAATAAAATAAAATTTATTAATTATATGTACATTGATAACTATTGATTTTATCAAAAAAATATTCATTTACATTTGCTAATTAGAAATTACTTCAACTTATTTATAACTGTCAAGTAATTATTTTGCATTCATTATTGTATTAAGTAATTTGTTACAAATTTTAATAGATGAATTAAATGTGCTATATGATGTTAGTTTTAGTCTAGAATTAAGTATTATTAATTTATTTTTGTGTCTTGTCGTCTAGTGTAGAATTCCCGGATAGCGAAAAGTGCGGGTTCGAGTCCCGCCTGCTGCTTAGACCGTGTGTTTTTTTTTTTCTAGAAATACTTTCTTTAGATTTAAACTTCGAACAGTTACATGCCTAAAAAATAAAAAAATAACTATGCTGTGTCTAAAGCATAGGCAAAACGCAAGGGCGGATCCAGCTTTGGCGCCAGGCTATATGACCCCCCGGTCATATAGCCTGCTTTGGCGCCAGGGGGGGGTCATATAGCCTGCTTTGGCGCCAGGGGGGGGGGGTCATATAGCCTGCTTTGGCGCCAGGGGGGGGTCATATAGTCGTGGTATATTAAATATTGAAAGTACTTAAATAAAATCCCCATGGGTTTGGTCCATCAGTACCCAGCCCAGGGGGGGGTCATGACCCCCATGACCCCCCCCCCTGGATCCGCCCTTGAAAACGGTTCATCTTTAAATGGTATTGTTTACTAAAATTGATTGACGCGCAACATAGATGAAATAGGGTTCTCGATTCATTAAAATTGGTAATAAATATTATATTATTGAACTATTTAAGAGAGATACG